TTTCCTCTGATAAGCCATTGTCATCTTTTATCTACCAACCTTTTAGGAATCTTATTTAGCTTTTGGTCTAAATATCCCTCTACATCTTTCTTATCTACAGGATATCTATGTGAATCTATTGTATATGTTTTTATGATTAAAGGAAAGTCCCCAGTAGCCATACACTCTTTCTGCTCTAGCCGCACCTATAGCTTCTTGTAAATCTCTTACAAACAATTTCTTCTGCTGAAGGGACATCATGAAACCCCCAATACTTTTATACTTACTTATGACTTGTCTACTAGCCTCCCTAAGAGGGGCTTTCAGGGTAGCACTTAAGTCTGGTGAGTTAGTCATATTTTTAAGACACTCATCAGATGTTGGAGTCATCAACACGCTTAAGAAAGAGCCTTGAATAAGGGAAAGTTGAGCATGAGTAAGTACAATGAGCAGCAGGAACAGTAAAAGATTAATAGGCACTCCTATACAGTGAAGAAAAGAAAAACAGGAACAGAAACACATTTTTCCCAGGGCCTTGCCAGCCTTTCCAGGAGGTAGGCCTCTTTGAAGCCCCATTCTCTGAGGTAGACTTCGGTGAAGTCCCATTCTCAGAGATAGGTCTCTGTGAAGCCCCATTCTCAGGTCTGAAAGCAGGTTTCCCATGCTAAGCAGACTCCACAGGAGTAGGCATGGCATACCAGCTGGGTGTCCATGGCTCAGGCCTGTAATCCTACCTGCCCAGGAACCTGAGATCTGAGCATCGCAGTTCAAATCCAGAATGCATAGCATAGTCCATGAGATTCCTTCTCTCCAGTTAACTACCAAAAAAACAAAGAATAGAGTAGTGGCTCAAGTAGTAGAGCATGAGGCTTCGGCAGAAAATAACTCCCAAATAGCACCAAAGCCCTGAGTTCAAACTCCTGTATAAACACACACATGCACACATGTATACATACTTAACTCTATTATATAAAAACTCCATTCAACTTCCTATTAAATAAAAATGCCATTGTGTGACTATGAGACCACATCCTGAGCTTCCTGACTCCCACACATCTGAGGAGGATGTGCCCCTCTGGTGGCAGGGGGCAGAACTTGAGAGGAGACCACTGGACATGGAGCGTGGTGGCTGTGGAGTCCATCTCCCAGAGAGATCTGTGGCCTCACCCTCGGGGCAGGCAGAGGGCAGAAGGGACACCAGGGGACAGCGCCTTCCTGCCCTGACCCAGTCTGGTGTCATTGTTTTTCCACGACCTAGGTATCACGGGGGACTGGAAGAACCACTTCACCCCAGCCCAGACCAAAGCCTTCGAGGAAACATTCCGGGAGAAGATGGCGGGACTTCCTCCGGAGCTGTTCTCCTGGGACTAAGCCCAGATTTAGCTCCTTGTGTGTTGGGATGAAGACTTGTGTCCCCATCTTATGGAGGTGACAGGACTGGGCAGAGATCATAGCATTAGTCTGTCACTCGAATCAGGAGGTCTGACTTTGCCTGTCACATCTTTGGTGCAATCACCAGGACAGGTGGCAGTCACATGCAGGTGAGGAGCACAAAGGGACCGGAGTGTGTTCTTGCTGAAATAAATGGGGCCACAGCACTGAGGGCTGACAAACATGCCTTAGTGTTCTGTTTAGCAAAGACGACCTGGGTGAAAGGCTGAGGAGGTCTCTTGAGTGGGGACAGTGGGCTGCCCATGGCAGGAGGCTGCCTGAGGGTTTGCTGGATGTTCTGGGGAAGGGATTTCTTCCCCCGCATTGATCTTGAGTGGAAGCTCTGTCCCAAATTGGGACAACCTGGGATGAGGCCAGAACAGACACCAGGTCCTGGAATTGAGGTTTGGGGCACCAGGAGCCTGAAGCCTTTTGCCACCTTCCGGTGCCCTGAGTCCATTTGACAAGGTATTTATTGAGTAGGACACAGGGGCATACGTGTACAAAGTGAGATCACAATTTCCCTGACATCACAAGCACCAATACTACAAAACAATCTTAATCACAAGCACCAATTGTGTGGTATCATCTTCCTCAAGTGATAAATAACTCCTTCATCTGAAGGAGCAGTTGTGAGCAGCAAATAACTTAGAGTTCACATAGATTTTTGTCTATCCCAAAGATCCCAGAAGGTCTGATGTGGAATTAGCCTACACCCAAGAAGAAATCTGAAGTGCTATCAATCCAGAAGGGAGTGACCTTTCCAGGAAGCTCTCAGGATTCTAAGAGTTCATGTTCAGAGGAGGCCTTCCATCCTCCCAATCCTTTCGGCTCTCACAGCTGAGCTTATGGGGGCTCTCACAATCCCCCCTTTTCCTATGATTTCAGAAAGCATAATTCTCATTTCCGTTTGCAATAGCGTATGCTGCATGCTAGAAGATAAACATTGAAATAGACAGGAGGCTAGTGAGATAATCCATAAAATAGAGGATCTTGGGCCCAGAAAAGGCAAAAAAAAAAAAGCCAGGAAAACTATTCTGGAAGTCCCCAGTTATCACTGAATTTTAACTTTTTCAGCTCCTGTTTGAGCTGCTCTAGCTGGTTCTGAATCCTTTGAGAATTGCCAGTTATCTTAAAGCAGTTCAGTCCTTCAAACAGTTCACATCCTAAATGGTTTTTCAACAGCAAAGAATCTGTGGTGGTTCCAATGTGTCAAATTATTGGTCTTCCCTTTTTCATTTCTTGATTGATTCATTGATTTCTTGATTTATTCATCTGTCACTTGGTTGAAAATACAAGGTAGTCTGCTGCCTTCTTTCTGGACACCTTCTTCAAGTCTAGGGACAGGCAGAATATAAGCTGCAGCTACAGCCCCATCGACAGTATTTAACAACATTAAGTTATCACAATTACGTGTGAAATCTTGTCTCATGCATCTCTTATTCTGCTGGGTCAAATTACTAAGACAAACAGGCACCATTCTCCTAACATAACATAATTTGTCTTTAGAGCGCCATATGCCTTTCCTCCACAAAAGAAAGGCCAGCCAATGCCGACTCTTTTTCCTTGAGGCAAACCGAGTTTTGTCACTGATGAACAGTTGCTCAAGTCATTTTCCCAGCAGAAGCATGAACACTCACAATGAACTATAAATTCAAGGTCCAAATTTAATTTATTCTCTAAATTCTCACCTTCTTGATGACTAATTTCATCCTCAGTTATATTGCTCCTCCTTTAAATTGACAGCATGTCCTACTAAACTTTGGGTTAGAACATTTTGCACAGAAGAGCCTTCTTTGATTCAAAAGGAAGTTTCATTCATGGTGGTTTTTTTTTTTTGGTTTGTCATAAGGCTTGAAATTTGGGTCTGGGCACTGTCCCTGAACTCCTTAGCTCAAAGCTAGCGCTCTATAACTTGAGCCACAGCACCACTTCCGGTTTTCACCACTTCCCGCCTGGGCTGGCTTTGAACTGCGATCCTCAGATCTCAGCCTCCTGAGTAGCTAGGATGACAGGCATGAACCACTGGCACCTGGCCTGACTAAATATTTTAACTCCGTCTTTATATCACTGGACAGGTCCCATTTCTGAGTTGTTACATATCACAGTACAATTTAAGTGCAACAGTTTCCCCAGCATAAGAACCCCCCAAACAGAGGCTTATACTGAGCAGGAGGCACCAGCAGTCTGAATAAGCACCATCATCATTATAAACAACGATGATGCATTCACTTCCTGTCCCTTGTCCGTTTGGCATCTCTCAGCTTCTAGAGAAAGCTCTGCACTGGTCCCCAGGTGGGAAGGGTTGCTGTTTCTCTTTCTCCCTGAGCCTTTAGTTATCCTCATCCTCTTGAAGGTTTTCTCCAGAGGTTCCTGGAGATTGGATGCATTTTCTCTTTATTTCTGGGTTTTCATTTCAGGGTAGTAGATAGATGTCTGCTGAACCTGTGCACCCACAGAAATAACGACCACCCCATACTTTGACAGTTCCGGGTCTCTAGTTATTACCAATGTCATCCTTTCAGCGAATGGGTCGAGGTGAAGAGGCAATTTTTTCAGGTCTTTCCAAAGTTTATCTGCTGCTGAAGTATTGGATGGAAAAAGTAAATTTTCAAAATTAAGAGTATAGAATGCCATTGCTATCTGTTCTTTGGGGCTCTAATGATCTACCTATCTCCTCCCCCACCCTTTCTTTTTTTGGTCAGTCCTGGGGCCTAAACTCAGGGCTTGGGCACTGACCCTGTGCTCTTCAGCTCAAAGCTAGCACTCTACCACTTGAGCCACAGCACCACATCCAGCTTTTTCTGAGTAGTTTTATGGAACATAAGACTCTCACAGACTTTCTGCCCAAGGATGGCTTTCAACTGGGATCCTCAGATCTCAGCCTTTTGAGTAGCTAGGATTACAGGTGTGAACCAAGAGCACCTGACTTGAAGTGAATGTTAAGTAGTCCTAATTTTTCCTTTTCCACTTTGAAACAAATAGTTTGGATAACTTTTCTTTCCAATTCCTCATTTTAAGGCCACTCCTATTGATAATTTGCATTTAAGTTCACACTTTTGAAACCTAGAACCACTGGGCAGCACCTATTTCTCTCCTGGCCATCTGGAATTTAAAGCTGTCACTGTTTTTTTCTGTAGTCTGAGTTAACTCTTAGAACACCTTTAAACTCAAATAGCATAGTTTTTCTTTACATGTAGGAATCACTGTACCAAGAATCCAGACTTAATAAACTAAGGATCTCAGAACAAGCTTGTTCTTCCCAATTTGTATCTAATTGCAGAATAGCATTGAAACCAAATTAT